TATTCTCCTCTAGTAAACGGGGAAATTAGCCTGGATTGCCAAGCACATACGGAGAGGTGCCTGCAGGGTCGGATCCCGGGCTCCCTCTGGGTCTGTCTAGTCGCAGCGTCAGCGGTTCCAGAGCCTGGGGTTTTGAACACATTCAGGATCTGGTCCTACTGTGCGGGGCGCTCTGAACAACTCGCTCCTCCTGAGCTGCCCCAGCAGCCTCTGCTTCTGTGGCTCCTCCGGATGGGCCATGAGGATGGGAAGCGCTGAAGCCCCTTTCACAGCCATCGTGTAAGCCCACCGGCTCCCAGGGGCATCGGGTCTGGGAAGCATTAGTGGGCTTTTTCTCTCGATCCCAAAATAAAGTGGCGTTAAGAACGGAGGGAAGCCGGCCGGCGTGGCTCAGTGGTTGAATGTCCATCTATGAACCAGGAGATCATGGTTTGATTCCCGGTCGGGGCACATGCCCGGGTTTGGGGCTCAATCCCCAGTGGGGGGCGTGCAGGAGGCAGCCCATCCATGATTCTCTCTCATCATTGATGTTTCTAGCTCTCCCTCTCCCTTCCTCTCTGAAATCAATAAAAATAATTAAAAAGTGTCACTACCCAAGGGACAGCTTTAGCATGACAGAGGGGTGTGGCCTCATCCTGACAAATCAGAAAGAATTTCACAGCGGGAGCCACCCTGGGGTTCCCTCTTCCAGGTGATCAAATGAGCCTCTCTTCCCCTCCCCGCCCCCCCCCCCCCCGGCCCCCAGGAGGACTCCCCAGCCTGTGTGGTGCCTACAAAAGACCGCTTCCTTACTTCGGCCTCCCTAACATTTTCCTTCCCCTGGAGGCTCCCGGGGGTCTTTAGAGAGCACCTCCTCCCGTTAGGAGCTGAGCCACAGTGACACAGCGCCCTTCCCAGCACTCCCTGTTGGGGCTGAGGCTCAGGAAGGGGCAGGAGACCCAGCCCACGGTGCTGGAAAGGCAATGAAAAGCTCGGATTCAGTGGTGCCCGTGGCTTCAGCGACAGAGAGGTGAGCAGGCCCAGTGAGTGACCTGATGCCGCACAGACGGCCTCATCTAAGTGACATGACGCGCCTGTCAGTGGACTCAGCCTGTGAGGTCGACGGGTGAAATGGGAGCTGGAGGCTTTCAGACCACGAGGCAGCGAGCAGGCGACGGGGCCAGAGGGAGTGAGAAATCACAGGGTGGTGCCAGGAGGTGCCACCTTCACCTCAGAGAGGCGGTTGGGAGCGTCATCTCACAGCAGGGAAGTGGGGAAGGGGGGGCAGGGAGAGGAAGGAAAGAGAACCTCCCGAACCAGAACCATCGCGGCCGGGAGCCATGGTGGGAATGACTCTGAGAGGAAAGGAGGTGGAGGGATCCGAAGTCTCGCTCTGGAAACCAGTGAGGACTGAGAACCTGGCCAGTGAGACAGACAGGAGCCCTGGTGGTCAGGAGAGATTGGAGAGGAGAGCGCCAAGGGGCCAGCCGTGGCTCCTACACAAAACCTCACCGCCCTCCCCTGGCCTCCTGGGCTGAAGGTCGGAGGGCGGGTGAGGCCCTGGGGTTTTTCACTCGACTTGCATTGAAGCAGTGCCTTTCCTGAAAGCATCCCTCCTAGGAGCCCCTCCGGCTTCTGCTGGAACTTTCCCGGAGTCTGGGGACCTCTCACTCCCCAAGGCAGCCGATGGCGGCTCTCCGGCAGCTGGGGAGGCTGCAAACTGCGCGGCTCCGTGTGCCCACGGGTCCCCCTCTGTCTTCCTGAGCTAACATGTCCACTTGTTACGTAATAGCCCTTCAAACCCCGCTCACATCTGCCACAGGCCAAGCCCTGTGCTCACCGGCCTGCTCAGCTCCCTATGGACACCCCTCCTCAGAGACCGGTCCCCCCTCCATCACAGCCTGCTGCTCCCAAGGACAAGGTCTTTTTTTGTTGTTGTTAATCCTCACCCGAGGATATTTTTTCCATTAATTTCCATTGATTTTTAAAGACAGTGGAAAGGAGGGAGGGAGGGGGAGAAAGAGAGAGAAATATCAATGTGAGAGAGAAACATCCATCAGTTACCTCCATACACACCTGGACCAGGGATCGAACCGGCAACCTAGGTATGTGCCCTGACTGGGAATCAGGAATCGAACTTGTTGGTGTACGGGCGATGCTCCAACCAACCGAGCCACCCAGCCAGGGCTAACCAAGAGCTTTTCAGAGTCTCCTAGTCAACAGTTTGATACTTACAGTAGCCAATCTTGCTGCACGTTCTGCACTACCATCGTGTAATAAACTTAAGACATGACTTCTTGCCTAGTGCTTTCACACAGCAACCTGTGCTTGGAACTAACTAATAACCGAGTGCTGACCATCCTACCACAAGGCCACATTCATCATTTTCCTTGAATCTTCACGATTATCATGTGTTAGTTAGGTCCGCGTGTTACCCCCATTTTTAGATGAAAACTGTGCTTAGAGAGTCCAAGTAATTTCCCCTAAGTCTTGAAGGTAGTAAGGGGCGGAGATGAGATTCAAACCCAGGTCCATATCACTCCAAAGCCCATGTATTACACTCACTATCATAGATATAAACTGGCAAGATCCAGTCCTTTCTGACTGCTGTTCCACATGGCTCCTCTAGGGGTCTGCAGCTCCGTGTCCTGTTCCCTCCTCACCTGGCACTGCCCACCTAAAGGGCCGCTCACTGCTGCCAAGGCCACTGTGAGCCCTGCTCTCCCGCTGTCTCTTCTTGGTGTTGGATTCTTGTTGTCAGGCTAATATCACTGCCATTGACAATGAGGCCAACGCAAGGATGGGTTCAACTCAGGGCAAGCAGACGTATGCATGGGGGTGGAGGGAAGAGAGACAGAGAGAGAGAACCATCAATCGATTGCCTCCCATAGGCATCCTGCCTGGGGATCGAGCCCACAACAACCTTTTTGGTGGACGGGATGACGCTCTAACCCACTGAGCCACCCGGCCAGGGCTGGACTGCCTGCTAATGCCATGCTCCAGGTGCCGGCCCTCCGGCTCCTGGATCCACCCTAACCTTGGCCGACTCACGGCCCACTTCCTGACATTAGAGTGGTGGGATATTCCACCCCGGCCTTGCATTACGGAGACCTGCACCTTACAGGCGACTTCAATTCCGCGAGGAGCCAGCCACACCTTCCGCACAGCCCTGGTGCCAGGGGCTCCCGACAGGCCCTGCGTACTGACATTTTTTTTCCAAGTGCCAAGCAAGCAAAGAGCCCTCTAGAGCCGCGCCGTCCAATATGGTAGACATATGTGGCCATCCCGCCTCGCAATATGGCCAGTCCTAATTGAGCTGTTCTGTTTAAGCACAAAACCCACGTCTGACTGCAGGGCCTGAGGGAAAATGTAAACCGTCTCCTTGATCATTTTAATGCTCATTATGTGTTGCAATGATACCATTTCAGATATTCCGGGTACGGCGAGTTGTTAGAATCAACTTACATTTATTTCCTTAAATTTTTTTAAGGTGGATAACAAACCGTGGAAGGTTACCTATCTGGTTTGCACGATTTTCTATTGGGCTGGGGATTTGCCTGGTGCCTCAGAAAGCCGGCCGGCCGGGTATAGATGGGTGCAGAGTTGGTGCAGAACTAAAAAGCAGAGAAGGTTACGCAGGACGCCAGGAGGCTTCTGCTCAGATTTTGAAATTCACATTCCCCGGACACCCCACACGACGTGCCACCTCCCCTCACAAGGTTTTCAGAAGCCTGCTGACCCTCCGAGCGTGGAGGCTGGACCGCGAGACCCCGGCATCCGTCCACGGCTCCCTGAATGGTGCCCAACCTCAGAGGCGTAACATCAGCATTGATTTTCGCCATTTATCCTCCCCTGGCGTTTACATGCCCCTTAGATGGATTGCCTTTAGGTTTCTGGTTAAGATTCAGTGATGGGAATGATAGCCAGGGTAGCGATAGAGATGTAGATACAATTTAATTTATGGACTCCAGGGCCCCAGGGTCCCTTCTGGCTCAAGAAATATACGAACCACAGACACACCAGCCCTCGTTTTGTGGTGAGGGCTTCCTGGCCGGGTCCCTATTGTGCCACTGAATTTACGGTCTGGCCAGGTACACGGATCCGCGTACGATATTTCAATGTGAGTGGCTCTAGCCATCAGAGGGGCCGGAGCCAGGCCTCAAAGACACCGCTGGGCAACTGATGAATTGCTCTCTCTCCTCACCATGGAGCGTGGCATTAGGTAGCTTTTACTTTATTATTTTAAAGGAGAAACATGGATATTTAATGCTTCTAAATGCAACCTAAGAAAGGAACGTCTATTCGGCGAATATAACAGGTGATAAACAGGCTTCCATTCTTCATCACAGTGGGTGAAGAAGAGGAAGAAAGAAAAGCAAGTGGGAAAAGGAATGACAGAGAGAAAAAAACAAAACCAAGTCTTTCCGAAAGCAGACTCTGAAAAATATCCGACTTTAAAGAATGGATAAGATAGCTACTTCTAGAACTTGTTAGGAAAATGGCATTTGGGCCCTGGCTGGTGTCACTCAGTGGTTAGAGCATCTGCCCACACACAAAAGGGTCTCAGGTTTGATTCCTGGTCAAGGGCATGCACCGGAGTTGCAGGTTTGACCCCTGGCCCTGGTCCGGGCCCCTGCAGGAAGCAACCAATCCATGTGTCTCTCCCACATCTATGTTTCTCTCTCCTCCCACCTCTCTATTTCTCCCTCTTCCCCCCTCCCTCCATCCCTTCCACTCTCTCTAAAACTCAATGGAAAAAACACCCTCCGTGAGGATTAACCAAACATAATAAAAACAATAAAAGAAAATGGCATTTGGTTCGGAAGCAAAGGCATTCTTGAAATCCGTCTCCAACATGAGTGCCAATCGGAACTCGCTGGGTGGCGGGAAAGGCTCAGGTAGCTTTCCAGGCTTGTCAGGGGTCGGGCTGGGCCTTTTTCTGCTCTGAGCGCTGCCCGGCCGGCCAGGCAAGCAGGGGGGGCCATGCTGCAGCGGGCGAGGGCAGCGCCCCAGTTACTTACGTCGACAGCCGGCGTGCCAGGAATTGCCCGGCAGACACTCATCGCACTTAGGCCCCGTGGCTCCCGCTTTACACTCACAGAATCCCGAGCCATTACAGCGCTCATGGACGGAGCCCAGGGGGTTACAATAACACTCTGCGGAAAGGAGACAACACACAGGCTGGAGAGCAGGCCCAGGGCCGGAGGGTGCCGACACCCGCACCCACGGCCACCAGCGCCTCGCTCCCTCGGGACGGATGCCGCTAACGAAACGCTCTGGCAAAGGCGGCCGCGGCAGGTCCATCGATTTACCTGCCCGGCCGCCCAGGATATCGTTTCCATGACACGGGAGGAAATCAACCGAAACCTTCCAGGGAGATAAGGCATCGCGCCCCCCACCGCCCACGGGGCCTGATGGAGAGGCCATTGGCGTGAACGCCACCAGCAGGGTGGCCAGCGAGGCTCCATCATCCACCATCAGGGCCAAAGCTGCTGAGATGATTCAAACGGGCTGACCTGTGAGCTTCGGATCCGAGAACCGCCGGACAGGTTTACAGTGCAGTACGGATGCACGTGGCTCACTCACAGGCAGGTTTTCCCTTATGACTCGGGATGGACACCCCGTAGGGACTGATCTACGAGGCTAGTGCGGCGTTTGTGCCGCCGAGATGAACACTCAGGAAAGGAAAAGAAATGCCGAGATCCCACGTAACTTTCTACGTTTGAGACTTTTCTCACTAGATTGTCTGAACTGTGTGTAATAAACAGAAATGGGCCATTTTCCTGACTCCGCCCAAGCCTCATGGGGGTGTTTTTATGGCCCGAGCACTGCTTGGCCTGAAGGCTGGGCCAGGTCGCCTTGGGCTTCCACGGGCCTGAGAGGTTTCAGGACCAGCTGGTTGGCGGCGTGTGGAGTTTGGGGGACAAAGTTTCTTCCCTTATCACCCCTCCGTGGGATCGTGGGCAGGTTCTTGGGCTCCTCCCTAACAAGGGGCCCATGAAGAGGTTTTCTTGTTAAAAAACCCAACAAACCCCAAGTAAAATCATACCAAGCAAATAACCGAACCGCCCATGAGCAGCCCTGGGAATCCGTTTAGTATCACCCAGTTGAGCACCCGTTAGCCATGGAGACTCAGGGTTTAACACCACAGAGGGCCAGAGGGCCGCTCTCACTCTTTCTGTCATGGGAACTAATTAGCTCATTTCTTCAAAAAATGTGGAAGGCCTTAGAACTGTGATTTATTTCGTGGTGATTAAATCATTTTTTTTCTTCTTTATAGTTCAGCATTCTTCTGCTAAAAACATGTAGAAGACGAATAGGTATACCCAGGTAAAAATAAAACGAGGTTAACTCTAAAATGCTCTCTCCTTGGCTGGCGTGGTTTGTCCTTAATAACCAGTTTTATTTTTAATAGGCATTTTCTATTTTAATGTGTGTGTGGGGGGTTGTTGTTTAAAGATTTTAAAAATAGTAATTCTGTTATGGCTTTAAGATGTTTTTCTGTGCATATGTATAAGTATGCACCTATCTCCAAACTGTAAGATGTTTTTTACTGTTTAATGTGTATACGTTGACAATAAACCACCAATGTTTTGTTAGCCAGGTGGTAGAATTTTCTTTGGCCAACATGAATTCACATACTACCCTACTCAATTAGCCCATAAAAATTGATTATTATGCCCTGACCAGTTTGGCTCAGTGGACAGAGCGTCGGCCTGCGGACTGAAGGGTCCCAGGTTTGATTCCGGTCAAGGGCATGTACCTGGGTTGTGGACACATCCCCAGTAGGGAGTGTGCAAGAGGCAGCTGAATTGATGTTTCTCTCTCATCGATGTTTCTAACTATCACTCTCCTTCTCCCTTCCTCTCGCTAAAAAATCAATAAAATAAATTTTAAAAAATTGATTATTATAAGGTTTTAGATGCAAAAATATGTAAACAAAGTTGTTTTATTTCTCCCTCAAAAATGTGAAACATCTAAACCACGGAATATGCCAGTGGTTGTCTTAGGAAAAGGTGTAAGTGTAATGACCTTACTCAGTGATGAGAATAAGTAACAAGAAGAGGTGTGGGCTGCACTCCACCTTCCACACAAATACTTGGGTTTAAAAGTATCTATATTACTCATGGGACTATGCTGTACGGTAGGTGCTGTATGGTAGGATGGCCTTGGAGAATTATTTTTCTTCTATGAAACTAGGAAGAATAGGCAGCACTGCTAGGCTGAAAACACCATGAAACACGTTGGGAGGTTTGATTCCATAGTTACATTGCAATTGATTGATAGGTTCAAAGTGTCTTGCGTTTGCTTTGCTCTACAGAAGGGACCGCTGATGACCTGAACTGGGGTTCCCAGGGGAATAAAAAATAATCCAATATCAGCTGAGCTACGTTTAGTAGCAACGGCTGGGCCCAGGCAGTGACTACCCAACATCACACACCAGGCATCCGCCAGCTTCCTGCTGGAGTGTCTATGAGACAGGCGTGCAAGGCTGCCCGCTCCACGTAATCGCTGCATCATACAGGGCAATGCCATGCATCGTTGGAGACACGGCTGTGTTTGGAATGTGTGTGAAAACCGGTAAATTCACCAGGGATTCCAAAGCAGCGATCACGGCGGCAACATGGATCATCATTTTACATTTGCCGGATTATAAAACGATGCAGGCGGTGTACAGCTATTTCAACAGAGTCCACGTTTGGTCAGAGATTATGGGCTGTTCCCCAGTGGATTTGACGGCCAGCTGTTAAAGCGCCGTTTAAAAAAATATTTAGAGAAGACTTAGATGAAGTTCACATTTTTGTGAGATTACCGCCTGATTCTGTGCAAAGGCGCTGGGTGGATACCCATTCGTTTCCATGAGAGCTTTCTGGAAACATGAGCCCTCAGTTCCTTGTGGTGTGGCCTCTCAAATTCAACCCTCAGTCCTGCCCTAAGCCCTGTGGGGAGCTTAGTGTGGGGAACAGTGAGAAGGGTCCCGTGCCCGACAGGGCTAACCTTGGGCCTTGGCCATGAGCCATAGGTTGCCTGTGGCCCCCGGGAGCAACCCTCAGCCTCAGTCTCGATTTCCCTGCCCTTGGTCGCTCCTGTGGGAAAACCGGAATCTAAATGTTATTGCTTTGTTGCACATATGCATGTATGGACTAAAGACAAAAGACAGGCCATTGCTGATACCAGCTGGCCACACCTTTCGGTTCATTCTCTAAAAACAATTTCCCCCGCTTAGGAAAAGGGCAACAATTTAAGGAGCTGGTGTGTGGGGGACATTGTGGCTTCTGGCTAATGTAGGCAACGGCACCTCACAACACCCATCTCTGTGCTAACCAAGTCCTTTCCTTGGTTTGAAGAGTGTAAAATAGTGCTCTCCAAAGATTTCTATTTTCTAGAATTCCCCAAAGGTTTAGGGTTTTAATGAACAGACTTTCCAGAAATGGAAAAAAAAAAACCCACAAAAAACAACGGCTCTTGATTTTTTTAAAAAGTAGAAATAAATAAAAAATGTCTACTTAAGCTTTCCATATTTTATCTGCAGCTTATGTTTTAAAAGACAAAAGCGGAATGGGCAGTCCCCTTGTCTGTGGATAATCAAGCGTGGCTTTATGATACGACTATATCTCTTAGAATCGGAGGGGGAGCGCAGACTGTCCTTCATAGATTATTTTAGCACCGGAAAAAGGCCCAACTTCCTCAGAACAGAGTATTACTCCAAATAGCACATATGGGGCATTGTTACCTTACCTGCAATGAGAAAGTCCCTGGGATAGAATCTTTTCTCTTGAGGCCTTTTTCTTTAATTTATTTCAAGTAATATGAAATTAAGTTATAAAACCTTGTAATCGTACGTAAATAGAAATAATTAGGTTTCATTCCTGCGCGCCTATTTATTTTACCTTTTCTCTTGCTTCCATATTTATGGTGTGGCATTTATATATTTTTACAGGTGACATTCAGCAAGATGGAACTCTGCATTCAAAATTCAGACAGCTACATGTCTTTGGGTTGTTAGTAATATCCTCAAGTCTTTGTAACCCCGGTGTTAGAAAGGCAACTGAATTTCTGTTCCTAAGGTTGGAGTGGAATTGTGGCTCTCATTCCAAAAGCATTCCAGACTGTGGAACCTCAGAGGGAAGGCGGGGTGGGGGGGTGGGGTGGGTGGGAAGAGATCAACCAAAGACCTTGTTTGCATCTATGCATAACCCATGGACACAGACAATAGGGTGGTGAAGGCCTGGGGCAGGGGGCGGGGGTGGGCTAGAAGGGGTCAATGGGGGGAAAAAGAGGACGTATGTAATACTTTCAACAATTAAGATTAATAAAAAAATTCTATAAGTAAAAGTCTGAGAAGCATAGCGTTGCTAATTGGGTCAGGGTGGTTGGGAGAACGTGTTCGAGCTTTGAAGTCAGAAAAGGGACTCTTCGCTAACGCCATATGATGTGCGTCAACTTGCCTTACTTTTCTCAACTAGAAAATGGGAAATTATCAGTGGAACACTTACCCCTGACCCCCCCCCCCTCCCCCCAGACACGGCTTTGTTAATGAGGATCAAGTAAAAAAACACATTCACAGTCAGCCCACAGTTCACCAAGAGCTTGCCGCGCATCCCGTGGGATCCCCATGTGACCAGGGGTTCTCAGATGACTTACCTAAGGCACACGGCTATTAAATAGCACACTGGGACTTGAACCCAGGTCTCCGGCCTCTAAGTCCAGTGATTTCTCCACTAATTCACAAATGATAAGTGAGGAAGGCTTTGAAGAATAGGACATACTGGAGACATACAGTCGAATGTAGACTTGGCCCAACCGAATTCAAAACAAGGTGTCCAGCTAGTTAAACGAGACACTTGGCAAGTACCTATATGTCCTTGACAATCCAATCGGAGAGCGATAATCCCACAATTGCATATTGATTGGGTTCCTTTTTTTGATGAAAAGACCATCTGTCAGTTTTCAGCTCCTTTATTCTGTTGAAATTAGTCTCTATGTGAAATAGTCTACCTTTAAGATGGGTTGCCTATATGGCTATACCCATTAGTGTGGTAACGGATACACAGGCTTTACCATTTTGAATATATGCATTTCTCCCTAGAAAATGATGACGTGAAATTCCATTTATTGGTTCTTACTTTTCCATCAGCTCCCTTTCTTAAACACAGGTCCCACTATGCACAGGCAGGAGAGTGTGTTTTTTTTTTTATGGGAAGGCCACCTGATTCTCTCCAGTTGACATGGTCAACTGTCATGGTGGGTGGGGACAGCGCCCCAGGGACCCAACCCTGTGGACTCCATTTTCCAGGGCTCACAAAGCTAAGAGAATTAACCATCTAGAATAATTTTGAGAAATTGCTTCTCTTTTGGGGGACTGTAGAAAAATCCAATAAATGGAATTTCTTTTCTATGGATGAAAAAGGCAGGCAAGACTTCTACATTACCAACTGCATGTGGCTTTCAGTTGCAAATGGCAGTATTTGTAATCAACCAACATTTGTTGATTAGCGATTATGTGCAAGAGGTTGTATCCTAACTTCTCACATCGATAATTCAAGCCCCTAGAGTGAGTCCCCATTTTGAATGTTGAATGCATAGCTTCACTTTAAGGTTAGGCTGAAATGACCAGGTTTTAAGAAATCATGCAAAAGGAAAATTGAAAATTCTTTTTTCAGCTCATTATCATCTTTAAAGCAACAGTCACATAAGGATTCGCCATATATTCCCCCAACTATGATTTCAACCAGCACACGTGAATTTTAAGTCTACCACAGGGATGTTTTCCCCGTTGAGAAAGTTCCTTCGAGAAAGGTCCTTCTGGCTCAGCCATGGTACAGACCCCCAGCCTCTCCGCCTTCCATAGCTCCCCATCGAGTGAAAGGCACAGAACAGTAGCTGAAATGATAAGGGGACTGACCTATGCACACATTCTCATCGTCCAGCTGTGCCGAAGCATTTCGGAAGTAGCCCAGCCTGCATAACTCACAGTGCTGCCCTCTAGTGTTGTGCTTACAGCTCACGCAAATGACTGTGTTTAGCAGATCGATATAACTGCATCGATTGGAGTGGCCGAAGCATTCGCAGTCTTGCAAGGAAGAAGAGAAATGTATACAGAGTGTATCCGGCAGCGGAAGAGTCATCGCACACCACATGCTTGGATACAATGAGGGGTGGGGAGGAGATGGAGGCATGGCATTACATCTATGCGGTGCGACATGACACATGGCGGCGGCAGGTGGCTGTGGCGGGCATGGAGGGAGCGTCTGTTTCGAGCAGGGGAGAAAGGCCGGACATTCAGAACATGACGGGAGGCTGTCAATTCTTGGCAGACAGGATGAACAGAAGCATTTGCAGGTGCACACCTTTTAATATCTGGGAAGGCTTGGCTTCCGTGGATGCGAACATCTAATTTTGGCACACGGGGAACTTTGTTGTCTTTGCATCCCTTGCCCCATTTCCTGTCCGTCTTTGAGGACTGACAAAAGAGGAGGGGATGCGTGTGAGCACCTAAGGCCTGAATCTGTCATCACCCACGGCTCCTTGGACTAGAGCAGTGGTTCTCAACCTTCTGGCCCTTTAAATACAGTGACCCAACCATAAAATTATTTTCGTTGCTACTTCATAACTGTAATGTTGCTACTGTTATGAATCGTCATGTAAATATCTGATACGCAGGATGGTCTTAGGCGACCCCTGTGAAAGGGTCGTTCGACCGCCAAAGGGGTCGCAACCCACAGGATGGGGGTAGACCTTGCTGACCGAAGGCCTGAATCTGTCATCACCCACGGCTCCTTGGACTAGTCTCTCACTACTGATGCTGTCAAGAGAGGAACCCGGTCAGGGGTTCACAGAAGTCATGGCCAATTTAATAGGGATCCAGACAACTAGATATTCTTTTTGTTTTGTTTTCTTCCCCCAAATGTCAAGAGGAAAGATGGCCTCTGAGAGCCGCTCGCCAGGCCAGCTCCGCATGTTTGCTAACATGTAGAGAAAGTATAAAAAGCAGGGAGGTTATTTGTGTAAAAACAGAGGTTCTTGGTATTTCTTTTCCTTCCAAGTTTCAAGCTAAGTCTTTGACAATAGAAAGCCCAGGCAGCTCCTGTATCCCCAGGTTTTTTTCCTTTGTCTCCTCAAAATGCTGGCGGTGCCTCTGACGCTTAGGGGTGACAAGGATAAGAACCAGACGAGGAAATGGAGCCGAGAGGACGAGAACGGGTCGGGGAGGGTGGAGAGGGACTGGATTGTTCTCTCGGTTGCATCTCAACCAAAGCAAGAGGTTGTTCATCTAATTCAACCTTTTTAAAGGAAGTGATAGAGACCAAGCCTCCATTGGTAGCCACAACTGTCAAATCAGCCCCTTAAAAAAACGTGAGGGATAACTAGATGGGGATCTAATTTGTCTTCTCAAAAGATGGGGGTAGACCTCACTGGACATCTAAGAGGACAGTCAACCAGGATACTGCAAACCTCGTTTACCTAAAAACACTCTAATGCCTGGCTTTTATGTCATGTCACCAGGAAGCCAAAGACAGTCACTATTTGAGCCCATCCATCCATCCATCCATCCATCCATGCACTCAGTCAATACCTTTTGGGTTTGTCTACCATGTGCCAGGCACTATGGGAGGTGCTGAGTGAAACTTTTGGCCTAGATAAAATTTTGGAAGTATTGCCTTTGATGACCAAAATAAAAATGAATAAGCATCATCACAAATGAATAAGAAGGGAGGAGACTAGCCTTCTCCTTTTTTAAAAAAATTAACATGCTTCTACCCATCAGAATGCGATGGATTCATGCAGTGGAGAGCCGGTTCCTACAGCAGAGCGCTGAGGTCACGGTTCTGACAGAATGACAGAAAATTCGGACAGAGGCAGAGGAGGACACTGAAAATGGTGAAGGAACAGGGTCAGCATCGTGGGGCCGCCAGAGGCAAGAGGGAGGGGAGGCTCCTGAGGGCGAGCCGCTTCCCCATGGAAGGCTGTCTGTGTCCCTGCAGGTGTGCTGGGTGGGGATGGAGACGGGGATCGGGGGACCCAGAATGAGGAGAGGACAGGGAGGCCGTGGGACTCCAATGTGGGGGGTGGGGGAAGAAAGTACTTGCGTCAGTTTAGTAGTTGTAGGGCCTGCCGCGTTAAAAAGATAACGCTAGAATTACAGGTCACCACATTACATTCTCCCGGGAAACAGCAAGCACTTCGCCCCAATACACTCTATCTCCCTGTGTTACAGTTTCCTTGCGGTGGCATTTCTGACTCCCAAGGGAACCTAAAAGGCCTCGAAAACGTCCCTTGGTTGAGGGTTTGAAACAGGGAGGATCTTTTTGGTCTGGAGACGCCTCAGAGAGGTGGTAGCAGGGAGGAGACCCAAGTCTGACCTCTCGTTCCCAAGGACTTCTTCCAGCTGCCGGGCCTCCTGAGGAGTGGGCTGCCCCTCCCGGACGGGGTCCTCAGCGCTGTCCTCCCTGGTCCCTACCCCAGGTTGGTCCTCGGGGGACCTAATGTAACCCATCTTGTGTCAAAAGCATCCTTGAAGGCATACATTCATCCCAGGAGCTTTCAGGATGACCTGTTGTTAAGAAGCTACTTTAGTGGGCAAGACAAGCAGGTGCTCAGATAGAACACAGAATAGCTCGGTTCAGAACAGCCATGGTGCCACGCGCGGCCTCCGGAGAAACCCAGGAACTCCAGAGGAGTTAGGAAAACTGACTTCACACTGGACTTAATATGAAACCTCTGGAGGGGAGGTTGAGTGTATTTAAAAAAAAAAAAGGAAAAAAAGGAGGGAATGAGCGTTTCAGGGGAAAGGAGTCATGTGTACAGAGGCAGGAAGTTGGGCAAGTTTCATGACCTGGTTCTTTTGTGGGTGTTGAGGGTTCGGTAACACCTGCCCCATGGCCAGACCACATCTGAGCTCCATCTGCCAAGTTTATCCAAGAAAAAAATGTAGATTTCCGAGTTCCACACTCTCAAACCCAGTCCACAAATGTCCAGAGATACATCAAATGTGACTGGCACTGAATTTTTGCATTTAAGGGATGGCACACATTTCTGGGATGACATTAACTTTTTGTTTCCGGGTCCTCTTTTGAAAGCCAATATATTACTTTTGATGAGAAGAGTTAAATAATATAAATTATATTAAGTAATTATATGGCGATACACGAAATCCTACGAAGCTCAACACCCAACATTATAAACTTATTCAGAAGGTAAGGGAATCTTTTACATGCCTTACAATCTAGGAAATGGGCTAGTGGACACTTGATTCTTTTAACACTTCTAAGACTCTTCCCAGACTTTGATAAGTTGCCTTACTTGGCTGTGAGGTAAACTTGAGAATGTAAAACGAGAAAAAGACCTTTGAAAGCGATTTGAAAAACATGAGGACACTAGATAAACGCAAGACATTTCACATGTTAATTCTGAAACTGCCGTGTTCGCTTTCAGTATTCTGTGAATTCACCACTCCCCAGCAACGAGTCTTTCCAAGATGGGCACGGAATCCACGAATGATCATTCCTGATCTTATCCGAGAGGCATCAGCATCTTAAGATCCTGAAGGAATAGCTCAATGACTCTTTGATCGTCCAGTTCACGGACCTACCATGTCCCCCCTTCCCTTTCACAAGAATGGAGTCCATGGTCCATCCTGATAATTACTTCCTTTCACATATTCTCACTCCCCCGTCCCCTGCCCCCCTCACCCCAATCATCGTCTCCTGGGAAAGTCTGGTCCTGGTTATGTCCAACTCTCTAGCTCTCTGTGCCTATACACCTAACAGCTGAATGTGGGGGTTTCATCCAACCGTTTTGGATAAAGTCTCACTTTAAGTTCATGACCATCACTCTTCATGGGGTCCTCGGAGCTGCCTGGCAACCCTCCCTGAACAGGGGGCTTCTCTGTTCTACGCCTTCGCACCCACCATTGCTTCCCCTCCCTTTCTGCCCGTCTCCTCACGTCTCAGGGCGCAGTCACTGGCCCTCTTTGCTCTTTAGGCTCACCCTAGAGCCAGGGCTGTTTTTGTTCTGCTTGTTAATCAGCCCCCAAGGATATATTTTTCCACTGAGTTTTAGAGTGGAAGGGAGAGAGAGAGACAGAAAGAGAGAAGCATGGATGTGAGAGAGACACATCGATTAGTTGCCTCCTGTACTCATCCCAACCAGGGCCAGGGATCAAGCCTGCAACTGAGGTACAAGCCCTTGACTGGGATGGAACCTGGGGCATTGCAGTTCTTGGGCTGATGCTCTATCCACTGAGCAACACCGGCGAGGGCTGTTGCTGTTTTGTAATCCAGCTTCATGACTTCATACACCATCTACATGCTAACCTTCCCCAAACACTGTAAACCCCCGATTTTGCAGACCTCAATTTAACAGACTTTGGATTTAATGGACAACATTTCTGGTCTGTATGTTTTTAACCAAGATTTGCTTAAATTAAATTATCAGGTTATTTTTTTTTGTTATTAATTCACTGTTATTCTTAACAAACTTTAGCGAATAGGCCCTTTGTGGGGGAAAAACACTGTAGTAATTTCACTAACAACAAAATATCACATACCTACAACTACAGTCCACATATTTAAATCCAAGAGTTCTGAGACCGATTAGCACGTGATCACATGGCATCACCAGCGTTAACTGGCCCTGCCGTCACGTGGCGGGACTTTCTGCAGCAGGTGGAACAGGTGCATGTTCCCACGGGCGCTAAGCCCCGCCCAGCCGTGCACAGCTGCTCACCAGGTGACGGGTGAGTGCCTGCATTTACTAGACCTGCTCAGTATCGATTTAACATGACAATAATACATATAGACAACTTTTCTGTGAAACTAAACTTTTTATACTTACTTTTAATTACACAAATGTGTCTACCTAAGTCAAAACAGGTAAACTAACTAATTTATCATTTGTTTTTTAACATCCAAATTTGGAAAACCAACTTGATTCTATAACAGACTTTCGGCTTTAAGGGATGCCCCCCTCATCCGAATTGTAACGAGGTTTTACTGGAGTTATTCCCAGCGGGGCCAACGCCCCGTCAGTTAGCGAGACTTCATCTGGACAGATACTCAGCTGCCTTCTTCA